GCCCTGCTGCCGCCCACATTACACTCACGGCGACCCTCGCGGCTCGCGCACGCGACCCCTCCCCTCCTCTCTCCCCGCGCCGATGCAAAACGCCAGGCTGTCCCGCGTATTTGTACGTCGTCTACGTTCTCCGGCGAATTCCTGGATCTCCCTTGGCACCAGGGCGGGAGCGCCCGATCGCATTTGCATGGCCCGCCCACTCCGGCGCGCGTGGGCGTGGCTGCGGCAGTCCCCTCCCCCGCCGAGCCGGGCCGCCGCCGCGGCGCCCGGGCCGGTCTGGGGCTCCGCTCTCGGCTTGGAGAAGCCCGGCGGGGACGCGGGACCCAGGGCGGGCGGGAGCGGCGCCCGCCCCTTCGCCTCCACGCCACCCACCGGCAGCGCCCCGCGGAAGGGCGGCGGTGGAGGGCGGTCCGAGCGCTTCGGAAGGAAGCCGTCGGGTCCTCTCCGTGAGGACCGGAGGGCCCCGCCGGCCGGCTGGCCCTGGGCCGAGGGACGAGCCCAGTGTCGGGACCCCACGAGTGCCCCTTCCGGGCCGCAGAGCAAATCGGGACGCCGCCCTGCCCTGCAGGCATGGGACTTGGGCAGGTGAGGTTGGATGAAATCCATGGAGGCCTTCCATTGCTTCCCGGTCTTTGTGTAGGAGCTGAACTCTTCTGCGAAGTCGGCTGTTTGCGCATCCCTGAGACCAGCTCCTCCACTGGGGTGGCCACCTGGACCAGCCACCACGGTGCCTATCACCACAAGCGGCCGGATTATTTCATTTAATATCCCAATACCTCTAAGATGGAGATATTATGCCTACTCTGTAAGTCAGGAAACTCATCAGAAAGGTAGAGCAACTTGACTACGTTTACACAACCAGTAAACAATGCTGCTGTCATATCACAGGACTTACCCACTCATGCCCAGGCCAACCTTCTTTTCTTTTCTTGAGACAGAGTCTCACTTTGTTGTCCAGGCTAGAGTGAGTGCCGTGGCGTCAGCCTAGCTCACAGCAACCTCAAACTCCTGGGCTCAAGCGATCCTTCTGCCTCAGCCTCCTGAGTAGTTGGGACTACAGGCACGTGCCACCATGCCCGGCTAATTTATTCTATGTATTTTTAGTTGGCCAATTAATTTCTTTCTATTTTTAGTAGAGACAGGGTCTCAGTTTTGCTCAGGCTGGTTCCCAGCTCCTGACCTTGAGCGATCCGCCCACCTGGGCCTCCCAGAGTGATAGGATTACAGGCGTGAGCCACCGGCATGAGCCACCAGTGCCTGGCCCAGGCCCAAGCTTCTAACCACACTTTGCTCCTTTCACAACAAAAGACTCTGGGTCTTCAATAATAACAGGCTTTACTTTAAAATGCAAATATGCAAGTGGTTACAATCTGTGACAGCATGGGAAGTTAGTTCCCTGATGGCCAATGTGAGTTCTGATTCAGACTCTAAAGAGTAGACAGGAATCTGAAGTAGAATCCTAGAGCTGGAGGGAAGTCTGACATCAGTGGTGGAATTGAGAAAGGCAGTGTGCACTGGGCAGGAAGGAGGGGCTCAGAAAGGGACATGAGAAGGGAGAGGACACAATCTTGGCAGAATCAGTCTGAAAATTCCTCCTTTGGCATGAGGACTGGCTCAGAGGGTTGGAAACTTTTTCTCAAATTCAGCCCAAGTCCCCTCCTCCACCCTAAACACCTCCCCATCTGATTTCTGTTCCTTCAAGGGTAGTAGGAGGAGAGAGGAAGAGATGCCAAAAAGAACCTACTTCCTCCTTTGCCCATTTAATTATTGAGATAGTTGAAGTGCTTTTCTCTTATTATTATTATCACTGTTTTTCATCTAAATACTTTTAGACTTAGTTTGTTAAATGTGTTTTGGAGATAAATATCCAGTGACAAGCCTCAATTTCATCTTTTGCATCTGGAAACCTTCCTATAGCTAGTGTTGCAGATGGCATTCCTCAGTGCTGGCAGGAGAAGGAACCTTGCAAAAGGAGGAGGAGATCTAGCAAGACTTGATACCCTTAAGCACAGCTGGGACTACCCTAGCAGCTGATGAGGACAGGCAACATCTAAGCTTTCTCTGGGATCCTCCAACAACCTCTACAGGGAAGGCCTGGAGTAACTGGCCCAAGTTCCTCCAGTTAGTAGGTGTGTCGGGTCTTCTAGTTTCCCTTGATTTCTTTCTGTGTCCTGATCAAAAAACTAGAGTGCCTTGACCATTTTATAGCCCAGCCAGTTGCAGGTTTTTCCCAGCAGGCTAGAACCCAAACTGGGCCCTTGAATATTCCCAGGCGCTCATAAAGGCATCTAGGTTTACTGGAAAAAACCTGTCCTTGACCCTGAGCCAAAATCCTTAAATCTTCACATAAATTCCATACTCTGATCTGCTGGGAGTTAGCCACTCTCCCAGCAAAACAGGCCCAAGGCAGGATTGTCACAAGGGATTTGGAAATAATAAGAAATAAAGAAATAGGCTGGGTGCGGTGGCTCATGTCTGTAATCCTAGCACTCTGGGAGGCCAAGGTGGAGGATTGCTTGAGGTCAGGAGTTCAAAACCAGCCTGAGCAAGAGCGAGACCCCATCTCTACTATAAATAGAAAGAAATTAATTGGCCAACTAATATATATAGAAAAATTTAGCCGGGCATGGCAGCACATGCCTGTAGTCCCAGCTATTTGGGAGGTTGAGGCAGGAGGATTGCTTGAGTCCAGGAGATTGAGGTTGTTGTGAGCGAGGCTGATGCCACGCCACTCACTCTAGCCTGGGCAACAAAGTGAGACTCTGTCTCAAAAAAAAAAAAAAAAAATTAGCCGGGCATGGTGGTGCATGCCTATAGTCCCAGCTACTCGGGAGGCTGAGGCAAAAGGATTGCTTGAGCCCAGGACTTTGAGGTTGCTGTGAGCTAGGCTGATGCCACGGCACTCTATCTGGGGAAAGAGAGTGAGACTCTGTCTCAAAAAAAAAAAAAATAATAAATAAAATAAAAAATAAAGTGATGGGGGGAGTCAGGGGACCTCCAGTGAGCTGTGAAATCCCACATCAGTATTTATGGTTACAGCAATTAGTTATCTTTTGTTAAAGAATTATGTGTACAGCTCATTTTGGTTTCCAGGGGAACCTTACATTACCTAATTCTGTCTACAAGAATAGATTGTTACAAAATTTTTCTAAGATCTGTACCCCCATAATATGCCAAAATAAAAAATAATAATAATATACAAAAAAAATTTTTTTTCTAAGGTAAGCATGTTAAGCCCTACGTTAGAAATAGACCTAGATGAACATACAAATTAAAGATAAATGTATAAAATGAGAACACTGAGTCTGTGTACTACTCTAATCTACTTCTTCTAAACACAGAGACATGTAGTCAGGAGTAAAACAGGAATAGTCTTGAAGTTTAGGATAGTTCCAGCTGCACATTATCTGCTGGGCAGGCATTTTAATCAGCTTCTCCTCCAAGGACCCAAACCGAGCTTCTGCCTTGCAAAAAGGCTCAAAGTGATGGCCAGCAGCAAAGAAATGTTGCTGTGCAGACACCCCCTTACGATGCCTGTCTTTGTTGGAAGTAGCTTCTGTTCTGTGAACTAACATGTCCACAGATTCCTTCAAGGCAAAGCCCTGCAAAACTCCTGAAACCTTTAACATCTCTTAGCCTATTTTCCTAACACTGACCTGCAAACCGTGGACATACCTCAGTGGAACACTCCTTTTCTCTAGTTCTGTCTCAAGGACTGCTGTAGCCTATACTCCATATGTGTAAGTTCTCCTAATAAATACTCTGGATGGATCACCCTGGCCTTTAGTGTTTCTTTGAAATCACATCTTGGCACGGTTTGGGGCACTCCCTTGTGGGAACTCCCCTGCTACTGCTTTTGGGCAACTCCAGCTGAGGGTTCAGCAGGATGAAATAAGGTGACACAGCCAGGATAGAACCTGAGTCCAGTTGACTCCAGAGCCCAAGCCGACTGCACTACACTGCCTGCTAGAATTGACCAACTCTCCTGGAAACTGTTCCCTGATTCAAGGGCTGGGCCCCACCTCAATCCCCACTACACTGGAGACTGTATTTGGAGCTGGCTTTGGAGCCGCCTTTTCACCTACCCTTCTCCTACCCCCAGGTATCTGTACTGAGGCTTACTGCTTCTAGAAAGACTTATATCTGTGGATAAATATATGTATATGTAGGAGGAAGGTCAATAATCTACTTGGGGTGATTTTAAGTATACAGTTCCCACCCCCCAAAAGCCTTCTTGGGCTTCAGGGAATGGTCTCTTCACCTGGTCATTCCACCTACTGGGGACACACAGTCCCTGGAAGAGTCAGGTAAGATAATAAATAATATCAACCTATAGCTAAACAACTTTATCTTGTATATTTCCCATCCATTAATCCATTTGGTTCTTACACCATCCCTGTGAGGAAGGTAACAAGTAATACTCTTATCCTACAGGCAAGGAAGCTGAGGCCCAGACAGTTTAGGTAGTGTCTCCAGCATCATAGGAAGAGGTAGACACTAGGCTTGAGCCCAGCATAGAAACCCCCAGGACTAGAGTGTTTGCTAAGAAGCCACTTTGCCTTCTGGGGGCTCAGACCTCAGTGAAGATTAGCTGGATTTTGTATTTTCTTTCATTCTGACTCAATACAGGCATTTATGGGAGGGAGTGGGAGGAGGAGAGATGGAGGAGTGAGGGATGGGTAATTCCAGAGACCTGCAGGGAAGTGGTCAGCAGAGGGCCAGATGAGGAGGTTGGAAGCCTCCCAGGAAGAGGGGGAAAGAAGCCAGAGAAAAGTGAGTCGACTTTATTGTGGAATTATCCCTGGGGCCCACTGAGACTCAAAGCTAAGGAGGGAAAATATCTTCTACCTGGTCAGGACCTTGGAGAAAAAGGTACTTTACAGACATCCCTAGGAGCCTTGAGAAGAACATCTCCCTCCCCCAACAAGGCGGGGCGGGGAGGGGGTGCTGCCCAGTTGCCCTGGTAGTGGCCACATTGTGAGGTGTTTCTGGCTACAGGTAGTGGGGTTGGGTGGCAGGAAACAGAGGTGGTGGGGGCAGTGGGGCAGTGTCCTGGGCGCTGTCTGTCCCCATCCTGCTCCGGGCCTTCCAGTATCCCACCATCATGGGTAGTGCCTACCACTGGGAGGCCAGGCGTAGGCAGATGGCTTTGGATCGAAGGAGGTGGCTGATGGCCCAGCATCAGGAGCAGCAGCAACAGCAGGTGCATGAGAGGGGCTAGGTTCATCTGGGTCCTTCCTGGGGCAGGAAAGGAGTGGGGAAGGAAGGCAGACCCCTAGGAAGCTACCTACTATCTAGTGAATGTTGTTTGCTGGGGGTAGGAGGAAAGCAAGGTCAAGGTCATTTGGAGTTCTCTTGAATCAAGTGTACATGCATGTGGAGGTGGGGATGCTACCACCTGACCAAGTTTTGTTGTTGTATTAGACTGGGAGAGGGCAGGGTACTAGGCCTTGGAGTTTTTAAAGCTGTGTTGTCCAATAGGGCAGCCACCAGCCTGTGTGCTACGGAGCCCTTGGAATGTGGCTAGTGAGTCTAAGGAACTAAAAGTTAAATTTTATATAAATGTAATTTAAATATAAATTTAAAAAATATATACTGGAAATATTTTAAGCATATTTGGGACAACTTGGGTTTGTGAATCTACCTTTTCAACTGTAAATTTTATGAAATCTAAATATAAATCAGATATTTTTGACAAAAACGTAGTGTCCAAATTAAGATGTGCCGTTAAGTGTAAAATGCATGCTAGGTTTTGAAGACTTAGTACAAAAACAAAGAAGAGAAAATATCTCATTCATAGACTCATTGATCACGTTTTGTATATATGGGGTTAAATAAAATATATTAAAATTAGTTTCACTTGTTTCTTCTTTTTACATAGCTATTAGAAAATTTAAAATTATGCATGTGACATGCATTATATTTTTATTGGACAGGGCTGTTTCAAAGCATTTGTGAGGTTATTCTTTATCTTCCCTCGCTGAAAACTGCTTTCAGTGGCCAGCTGCAAAGCTAGGAGGTAGATGCTCGGAGACAGGGCTATTTCCTGGGCAGGGGCTACGCCAGGGGCACTGTCACCAGAAACAGTTCTTGGGTGTTGTGGTGGGAGAAAGGAGACAACCTAGGCCAGCTTCAACCTGCAACTCCAGGGAACAGAGCGAGCCCTCCACCACCACCAGCTACACCTCTCCATTCACTTGCCTTGCTCCTAGAAGTCCCTCTGGCAGATGGGTGACTGGGTGGGGAGAGAGGGGGATGCCACTTGCCGGGGGCTTCTTGCCAGGAACAGAACAAACTCCAAGAGGAGGAAGACCAGCTGGAGAAAATCACCCAGCCACCCCAGCAGACGAAGGAGCCACATCCGGCACCGGCAAAAGCACAAACACCGGAGCAGCAGCCAAAGTTCCCAGCTCCACAGCCGCCACGGGCGCAGCCACAGCTAATACCGCCCCCGCCGCCGCCGCCGCCGCCCCCGCCGCCGCCGCCACAGCCACCACAGCCGCCACAGCCGCCACCCCAGCCGCCACTGCAGCCGATGCAACAAAATGCTCAAACCTGTTTTCCTCCGGGGCCCCCCAAGTGCAATCTCCAGGATTCCCAGATGCCAGGTCTCTAGCTTGGGGGGGCCTGTTAGGCTGGCGGGCAACCCCACTGTATGAACAACACGTTCCAAGGGGGGCAGAAAACCCTCATAGACTCTGGCGAGGTGCCTGGCAGGGGGAGGTGGTGAGAGAGGAGCGGTTTGCTCCCATGCCTGCCCTACAGTCTAGCAGTTATGTCTGCCTCCTCCAGAACCCCCCCCCCCCCCCGCCCGCTCCTCCCCAGTACCTCTGGCCTCTTCTGCCTTGGTGGCCACTCTCTTTGGGTGAGTTTGTGCCAACCTGAGGCTGTGAAGAAGCTTGCCAAGTTCTGCAGAAGGTGGCAGAAAAGTTGTCAGCCCCTCTTCCAGGGCAAGGGTGACAGGAGGTGGGGGAAATCAGAGGGTGGGATGTGAGCTGCAGGTTCATCAACAGACATATCCATGGAGCCCTGTGAGGTGTGGAACAGGGAGCCACAGCCTGGCTTCCTAGTTGGGAATCTTCAGACTGGACTCAGTCTTTGCCTCACCCTAGGAAGGAACACCCTGGCCTCCAGGCAAGGAGTCCAGCTCTGCCAGGTTTTACCCTCGGAAGACTGAGTAATCTGTGCTTTGATTTGTCATCAGGTCTCAGAGCCCCGTACGAAACTGGCCCTACCACAAACACTGGGTATTCACGACTCAAGGTGAGAGACACACAGAATGTGAGGGACAGATACTCTGAGTGTCTGAGACTGAGAGAGAGAGAGAGAGAGAGAGTGTGTGTGTGTGTGTGTGTGTGTGTGGTAGTCTACACAGGCTTCCTTAGCAGGAGTCTGGGGGAGAAACTGGAATTATTTCAAACTCACTTCTGGATGGCCCATTCTATCATTCCTTGCCCCCATTAAAAGTGTCTGGGTAGGAAGCTGGGCGCTTTGGGGCATACCTGTAGTTGCAGGGGAGGATCACCTGACTTGAGCCCAGGAGTTTGGGTCCAACCTGGGCAACATAGTGAGACCCCATCTCTAAAAAAAAAAAAAGTAAAAATGTCTGGGCAGGGCCTATTGCTCAGTGCCATCCATAAAGTGAGAATGATAATACCACTTTCTCAATAGAGGTGCTATGAGGACTGAATGTGGCAATTAAAGGAGACAGCATAATCTATTCTTTTTTCTCATTAACTAAACTGAACTCTAGAATAGCAGTCTTGTCTTCTTTTTCACTATTCTGTGTGTGTCTAATTGACTGAGTTTTTTTATTCCTATCAAATGGATTAGATTATTGCCAGATATTAAATTCAGTGATTTTGTTTTCTGTGTAGGAACCTAAGGATAATAAATTCCTCTGCCCCTTTTATGACTTTTCTCTCCATGGCCTTATTTACAGACTATCTTCCTTATCTTCTGAATTATACCATTCCAAGGCATTGGAGAAACTACAAAAGAAAAGTTTTAATATATATATATATATATATTTATCTTTGCAGTAAAAAATCTATAACTTTGCAGTAAAAATTCTCAGATGTAAAATATCAGTGTTTACTGTGGGCAGATGGGGTAGGGAGGATGTGAAGAAATATTAATAAAATAGGATTTTTTTTTTTTTGAGACAGAATCTCACTCTGTTGCCCGGGCTAGAGGGCTGTGGTACCAGCCTGGCTCACAGCAACCTCAAACTCCTGGGCTCAAACCATCCTCCTGCCTCAGCCTCCCAAGCACCTGGGAGGTACTTTTCTATTCTTAGTAGAGACGGAGTCTCGCTCTTGCTCAGGCTGGTCTTGAACTCTTGTGCTCAAGCCATCCTCCCACCTGGGCCTCCCAGAGTGCTAGGATTACAGGCATGAGCCACCTCGACCAGCCGGCTGTTATGTTCTGAAACCAGCAGGCCCAGAAGCTGCTAACTAACTTATTTTGCTTCCTGTCTCTTTCCCCTCTTAGTCTACGAATTATCTGCAGCAATGGTGATCCAGAGATCGAACCTAAGACCCCACCAGCCATCGTGAAAAAGCAGATGACCAACCCCACCTCCTTACCACCCAGCAATATCTCCACTCCAAAAGCCATCCACTCTGGAAGAGGGAGCTAGCTGGGGATAAAGTGTGATTTCTTCCTGGAAAGAATCAAGAGATTGGTCAGCTTTATGAGACTGGGAAGTGGGCAGGGGAACCCATGAAGGGGATGGAGCAGGTGGGAGAAGACAGTGGAAGGCAATTCCATGCTGCTCTCAGCAAAGCCCACAGGAGAACTTGGTCTTAGGCCCCTGTGTCTGCAACTCCTTGTACTATTACTACCTTCCCTTATTCAGCAATGATAAGTCTGTTGGGGGCTTAGGTTTATGACTGTCACTAGAGCTATCACTCCTCCCCCAAACCCATGTTTATTGAAATATAGGCTGTAGGCTGGGCGCGGTGGCTCACACCTGTAATCCTAGCACTCTGGGAGGCCCAGGTGGGCAGATTGCTCGAGGTCAGGAGTTCGAAACCAGCCTGAGCAAGAGCCAGACCTCGTCTCTACTATAAATAAAAAAGAAATTAATTGGCCAACTAATATACATAGAAAAAATTAGCCGGGCATGGTGGTACATGCCTGTAGTCCCAGCTACTTGGGAGGCTGAGGCAGGAGGATCACTTGAGCCCAGGAGTTTGAGATTGCTGTGAGCTACGCTGACACCATGGCACTCACTCTAGCCTGGGCAACAAAGTGAGACTCTGTCTCAAAAAAAAAAGGAAGAAATATAGGCTGTAGAAGGAGGGGTTGCACCACACCAGAGCAGGCCTGGGACAGCAGCAGAAAGAGGTGGCAGGCAGGGACACGCCCAAGCCCAGGGCAATGCCAGCCCATGGGCACTCAGCTGTTAAGTGGATCATGGGGACAGGGGTGGAGAGAAAAGAGCTCAGAGGAAAGGGGGGCTGTGCCTCGGGCATAGGACACCTGACCTGGGAAGGGGAGGAGGCCTCTCCCTTCCTGGCTCACAGCCCTTCCATCTGGCAGAGACAACTCAGAGGCTGCTGAGCCCCCAGGCAGTCCCCTCACCAGCCCACATTGGAAGAAAGGGCAGGGCTGGGAGATCTTGGTTGTCAGGCTTCAGGAATGTGCAAGCCCCGTGAAGTCCTTTCTTCCCCCATGATGAGAAGGCTGCCTCAGTCACCCCAATCACCACCCCAGTCTGAAGGGTCAGCTGGGTCATTTTATTGTAGCCCGTGTAGCAACGCCTGTGGTCAGAGTGAAGTAGCCCCGTCTCAGTGCAGCCCAGGGACGTTTCCTGATGGGAGCAGATGGGGAAGGCAATGGGGGCTGGTGGCGCGGAACAGAAATATTACAGTTGAAAGAGACCTTACAGATACACAACGCAAGAAAGAGGGAGAGAACGAGCCCTGTGAGCAACCTCTCGGAAGCCAGAAGAGCAGGACATGTTATCAGAGGGGCTCAGAGGCCTGTAGAGAGTCCTTGATGCCTACTCGAACATTAAGAAACAATTTGTGGCCAGGCGAGGTGGCTCACACCTGTAATCCTAGCACTTTGGGAGGCCAAGGCAGGAGGATTACTTGAGGCTAGGAGTTTCAGACCAGCCTGGACAACATAGTGAGACCCCATCTCTAAAAAAATTTTTTTTTAAAAAACATTAGCCAGGTAGTTACTCCTCCCTATAGTCCCAGCATCTCAGGAAACTGAGTCAGGAGGATCACTTGAGCCCAGGAGGTCAAGGTTACAGTGAGCCATGATCTATGATCTGCCATTGCCCTTCAGCCTGGGTGACAGAGTGATACCTTGTCTCTTAAAAAAAAACAACAGGCCAGGCGTGGTGGCTCACTCCTGTAATCCTAGCATTCTGGGAGGCTGAGGCAGGTGGATCGCTCAAAGTCAGGAGTTCGAAACCAGCTTGAGCAAGAGTGAGACCCCGTCTCTACTATAAATGGAAAGAAATTAATTGATCAACTAAAAATATATAGAACAAATCAGCCGGGCATGGTGGCGCATGCTTGTAGTCCCAGCTACTCGGGAGGCTGAGACAGGAGGATTGCTTGAGCCCAGGAGTTTGAGGTTGCCGTGAGCTAGGCTGACACCACAGCACTCTAGCCCAGGCAACAGAGTGAGACTCTGTCTCAAAAAAAAAAAGAAAAAAAAAGAAACAGTTTGTGAAATAAGGAATATCCACCGGCCCCCTTCCCACTCTCAGAGGCTTTTTTTTTAAAGACTAATCAAGTGCAGTAGTGAAAAGGGGAAGGAATAGATCAAAGACTTCGATCTGTAACTGACCGTGAACAATCAATTGAGACAACTCGCTACCTTCCCACCAGCTCCAGGAGATTTCTTTGAACACCATTAAGTACAGTTTATTGAATGCAATATAAATCCTTTACATTTGGTGACTTCCAAAGCAGCTCTGGCCTGGCCTCCCTGGACTTCCATGCTCTTGCCAGTACCACCTTGGTCTCAGCTTGGGGACAGACCTCCTTCCTTCCCCTTGTGCCCCAGCCAGCTAAGCTGTCACCATTTCCCCTCTCCACCCATTCTGCTTCAAATTCAGCGCTCCCTACCCACCTCTGTTCATATGTCCACTTGTCTGAATGATAAAGACCCAGCCACGTCTAACAAACAAGTGACCCTTCCTGTTCCACTAAAGTACAGAAACCACTTCCACTAGGAACCCGGCAGGAAGGTGTTATCTACCGCTTAGCTTCAGCTGGGTGACAGGAAAGCGAGGGGGTCCCTGCTGATGTGCTGCTCCACACTGTCAAAGCCCAGGGAACAACAGAGGCCTCTGGGAGGCAGAGCAGGCACTGGTGCTGAGCTGGGGGTGGAAAAGAGCCCAGCAGTGTTGGATGGACGCTGACAGCTTCATCTCCTGTGGGCTTTTAGAAGGCTGGGCCTACTGTCTGACCTGCCTGGATCCACTCGCATGGGCTTGGTGTGGGCTTAGAAACCCTTCTTTAATAAATGCCTTTTGAAATTACTCTGCCTTTGGCCCTGTTCTTCCTGTGTAGGCCCAGGAGGTGCCAGGTGCCTCCCTCCTCTCCCCTACTACTGTGACTATGAAGAGAAGAGTAAAACTGTTTTACAGAGAAGCTTTAGCTGGAGAACAGCTCTTAGAACCAGCTCTTAGCTCTTGTCTTCCTTAGAACCAGAGATAGTCGTTAACCAGGAAGGACAAAGGGCAGAAGGGTCTTGGCCAATCCTACTGTCAGATGGACAGGGGACAAGTTACCAGAGGGAAGCAGGCCATCACTATTACTTTGTCACATGACCAAAGCAAACAGGCACAAGAAAGCATCTGTGGTCCCCTAAAAGGCCCTGGAGACAGCACTGGGTGTCCCTAAAGTCAATTTCTCATCACTAGTGGAAAATCTGAAAAGAATCCATGCTTTAAATGCCGGGTAAACACACCGACAGGAGGACAGCTAGCCCCACTGGAGCGGGGCAGCCAAGGCGCTCAGTACAGAAAGGGCAGGTGCCACTCCAGGGACGCTAAGGCACCTCAAGAAAAGGTCAGGTCAGGTTTCCCTCAAGACAGAACAAGGGCAGGACGTGGTGCTGGCTCCTGAAAGGAACTGGGGAAATCAGGGATGCGAGCGTGTGTGGGGATGAAGTTAACTCCAGCAAGCTTCCTGTGCTGAGGCGTGGGGGTGAGGTTACAACAAAGCAGGGCTTTTCCTTTGGCAAAGTCACTATGGTCCTTCCTTGGTCGCCATGGAGTTGTGGGAGACACAGACCAGGCTTGTAGGTGCCTGGAGTGCAGGCACAGCAGACAGGTCATGGTGGGCGAGGGACCAGCAGGCGGGACTCCGACATGTTTCCCCGGCAGTCCACGTATTCATAGCTCTGGAAGACCAGCTGCTCCGAATGGCTCAGGTAGTAACAGGTCAGGGTGCCCCTGGAGAGGAAGCAAGCCTTGTTGACATGTCTGGGAGGAAAAGGAACGTTCTGGCCTGTTCTGTTGTCTGGGGAGGGTTGGCTCCCTCAGACCTCCCTTTCCCTTCCCTCTGCTCCCTACTCTGCCAAGGTACCTGGGGTGGCTGCCCTACCTGTGTCACAACAGCTCCCAGACAGCCCTGTGGCTGTCATCCAAATAGCTTATAAGCAAGGTGAGACCTAGGGAAGGGGCTAGGCTTGCTATTCCTAAGAGCCAATAAATATTCACGGGTCAGCTTGGATGACTCTCCTACCATGAGGTGGGCTGAGGTAAGACTGCAGTCAGAGTGGGAGAAAGGAATCCAGAGCGCCAAGCCCTACTTACTGGATGTGCAAAAGTACATGGTGGACTTTGATTTTCAGCCAGGTACAGATTTTGCTGAGGGAGAGAGAAAGAGAACATAGGACCATATTTCACATGGAGCAGCCTGTCAGAAAGTTCGGAGGATTCCTGCGGTCCCAGTTCCCTTGCCTCCCTGATCCCTTTCCTTTTATCAGGGGCCCCCCAAGATGCCACTCCCACCCCTTCACTCCCCAGGGTGAGCAAGGCCACCCTGCTTCAAAGTCACTCTAACATCCACTTGCTTGAAGTACATGCGGGTCCCTCCCTCAGCAAAAACAAGACATTCATCTTTTTCCGTGATTCACGCTGAAGAGTCCAAGGTCACATATTGTAAAGATTAACTAAATTCCAGCCTGTTTTTCTTTTTCTTTTCTTTTCTTTCTTTCTTTTTTTTTTGAGACAGAGTTGCTCACTCTGTTGCCTGGGCTAGAGTGTTGTGGTGTCAGCCTAGCTCACAGCAACCTCAAACTCCTGGGCTCAAGCGAGCCTCCTGCCTCAGCCTCCAGAGTAGCTGGGACTACAGGCATGTGCCACCATGCCTGGCTAATTTTATATATATATATGTATTTATTTATTTTATTATTTTTTTTTTTAGTTGGCCAATTAATTCCTTTCTCTTTTTAGTAGAGAAGGGGTGTACTCTTGCTCAGGCTGGTTTTGAACTCCTGACCTTGAACAATCCACCGGCCTCAGCCTCCCAGAGTGCTAGCATTACAGGCCTGAGCCACTACACCTGGCCTCCAGCCTATTTTTCAGTCTAATCTAGGACCAAACAGGCAGGGGTTGGAGACCATGAATCGTTGCACATTGCAGGCTTGGCCACCTGAGGGCAGGCCAGATGCTGGCTACAGAATTTGCTGAGCGATCAGGATGCCTGGTGGGTACTCACTGGGTTTCCAAGCCAAGCAAGAGGCTAAGGGAGAAGAGATTAAGGGATACTCACTATGTGTTTTCATCCCATATCCTGCTGGCTACTGCATAAAATATCTGCCAACCAAATGGGCACATGGTTAGCCCCAACTCCAGCTGCCCCTTTCCCACCACCACACACATCCACACACCTGTGGGCAGGGCTGGCCAGGGAGAAGGGAGTCACCTGTTCACTGGCCAAAGGGCCAATGTGTAGGAGAAGGCTGTCAGAAACCTGCCCCACCACGAGGGACAGGTGCAGAACCTCGATGGTTAGCTGGGTCACCGTGATGGGGTAGTAGTTGCTATTGGAGATGTTCAAGATATTCTGGGGATGAAGATAAGGAAAGGGAGGGGTGAGGGTGGCCCATCCTTGGAAGGGAGAAGCCAAACAGTTGCAGGAGCCTGGCTCTCTGGCCTGACTCCCGCCCTACCACGAGGGGCCCCAGGTGTAGAGGATCAGTTCTAAGCACCCCTGGGGCCAGAGGGATCTTAACCGTGAGGAGTCACCTTTTAGAAGTTCAGCTGGCTCAGATCTGGGCACACCCCCCCACGGCTTTTCTCCATTCAGCCTCGTCCACCCCACTCTACCCTAAGGTTTATGTCTCTAGCCCCTTACTGTGTAGATCCCAGTCCTCACCATCTATTATGGGGCTCATGGTTACCCCTGCTTCTCCCCAGGCTCCCAGAACTCTCCGGGTGCCACAAGATCCCTGGCTACCTGGGCCAGGGTTGCAAGGCTGGACAAAGCCTATAGAGAAGTGTTGCCGGGAAGGCGGGGTCAGAGCCCAGGGGCACCCACCCACCGTTATGTTGAGGTGGATGTCAGCCTCATCAAAGGCCACCGTGGAAGAGTTGAGGCCTGAAGGCTGCACGATGATGGACCTCGGAAACAAGAAAAAGACGACGGAGGAGGAAGTCATCAGGCAGATGAGCACGGCTAGGAACACAAAGAACTTCCTGTGGGGAAGGAGGACCCACGATGGAGGAGCAGAGAAATCTGAAGGAAACTTGGGGAGGCGGTTCATACTCCTCGCCATACACAAGGCTCTCTCCTGCACGCCCCTCCCTCTACACCTGCACATTTGGCTTTCCAGATGTGGCCCGGAAGGGCTGGAAGGCAGGTAGTCTGGCTTCCATTTCCAGCTGTTCCCACTGACCCAATAACATTGTGCAGCTCACCTGCCTAAGCCTCAGTGTCCCTGTCTGTAAAACAGAGATAACGGTACCAACCTCATAGAATATATTATGGGCTAATGCATGAAAAAACAATAATTGCAGGTCCTGGCACATAGCAAAAGCTCAATGAATGCTAGCTATTCTCACTAGAAAAAATAAGGCCACATTTTGAGGGTTCTGAATTTTAATATTAATATTCAGAAAAGAACACAATCCATCCATCTAATTCAACATGAGATCAGCATTAAAGGAATAGCACTTTGTTAGCATGTTTTGAGGGGCATGGCTAGATTCTAGTTCTGGTGTGGTGGGGGTGTGGAGAGGGCAGGGTAGTGGCTACCAGGGTGAAGCTGAGGACTTGGGAGGAGGTCGCAGGGATCCATGTCAAATTGACCCAGATCACAAACAGGGTCACAGGTTCTCCAACGAAACTCAGGGTTGCCTCTGAGATTCTGAAGTGTCCCAGAACAGGGAGCAACAGGTTTTCCATGCTCAGGGGAGGATGCTAAGTGGTCTCTGGTGACATCTGCTTTGCCTGGGGCTTCTCAAACCAGGAAATTCCTCAGAAATAGGAAGCTGGCTGGTACTTCTGAGCCTGGTGAGGCTCAGGCTTTCTGGGGAAGGACTAATAGGAAAAAATTAGGGGGAATCAAAATAGAGGAGCCCCCAGGGCAATAGCTTGTGGAACTGGAGGAGGAAGAGGGGCTTACGTGTGCCTGGGCTTCAGCCTCTGGTCCCCATAGGGGATGAGAGCCACCAGCTGCTTTTCCAGCTCTAGAGAGAGAGAGGATGAGAAGGAGGACCAAGAAGCATCCATGACAAATATTCTCTGTGCCAGCCTCCCAGAAGCACCCCCAGCCCATAAAGCAATGTTAGAAGCATGCTGCCATTGCCTCTGCCTCAAAGCAGGACTAGGAGCCCGGGATGTGCTGCCGAAGTTGGCAGGTCAGCTTTGACATCTCTAGTATGGAAATGAGATTTCTAGAAACAGATATGAAGAATCTCTGAAAGTCATCAGCAAATAAAAGAAGCCCAGCTTCTTTGGAGAGATAATTTGTAACTTCCTGAACTGAATCCTGAGTGTTGCTCAGGAACACAGTGGCTAGAACCCCCCTCCTCACCAAGGAGCTGGGGAAAAAACTGGGGGGTGGTCTCTGAAGGGGGCCTAAGGATAGTTAGCATCTCCCTGGCCAGGCTGAGACAGGGAACCAAGAGCTGGGAGCAAATCCAACCCCATTCAAGGAGACTCAGAGGGGCTGGCCCTGGGGCAGCTGGCTAAGAGCTTTCCCTGGATCCCAGGCTATTTCCAGAGTCTTGGGTCACTCACCTTGGGGAATCTCACCACTGCCTTGGCAGGTAGGACATGTCACAAAGCTGGCACCAGCAGCCCCTTCACAAGGCACATGGGAACAAAGAGACTTGCTGCTACCGGTGCTGGAGTAGGCCTTGCTGCCAATGGCGGGGTTAGGGGGCAGGATCAACTTCTTTTCATCTTCCCACTGAGAGCCCAGCTGGGAGAATCTCTCACCCATCCTTCAGGGGGGATTTTTCACTACTGAGAAAAGAACAAAGTTCAGTGCTAAACTTGTTAGCACTGACACCAGATGTAATTTTGGTTTAAGTTCTCAAGATTGGCAAGGAGTCCCACCACAATCTGAGCAAGCTAAAGCCTAAGGAAGATAGGCTATGAAAATTGAGCAAGTTACATGGGATTCTCCAGTCAGAAATCTCAATACATTTCAACTCCTTTCATTATTGCAAAGATCAATCTCTGCCTACCAAAGGGAAAACAAAAGAAAAGTAGAAGTTATGGCCGGGTGTGGTGGCTTATGCCTGTAATTCTAGCACTTTGGAAGGCCTAGGTTGGCCGGGGTATCACTTGAGCTCAGGAGTTCCCCACTAGACTGAGCAAGAGCAAGACCCCCATTTACACTGAAAAAAAAAAAAAAAGAGTATAAAAAATTAGTTGGGTGTGGTAGTGAGTGCCTGTAGTCTCTGCTACTTGGGAGGCTGAGGCAGAAGGATCACTTGAGCCCATGAGTTTGAGGTTCCCGTAAGCTATGATAACTCTGCACTCTAGCTAGGGCCACAGAGTGAGAGTCTTGTCTCAAAAAAAAGTTATTTCACTTTAAGGGACTTAAGGGACTTCCATAAGTGAATGGCAGAGCTGAGCTGTCATTCAATTCAAGAGAAGGAAGTTGGATGAGGCAGAGATTCTTCGAAACAGAGGCTAAGCCGGGCGCGGTGGCTCACGCCTGAAATTAATTGGCCAGCTAATATATATAGAAAAAAAAAAAAAAAGAAACAGAGGCTAGACGGGTCACAGGTGTGGTTAAGAATCCTATCTCAAAGAGTCCTGGGAGGGAGTGGAAACCTCTTCCTCACTGCTTTCTGAGGCTAGGTAGGAAGAAAGCCTGAAGACAGTCACAGTAATGTCAGGGTCTGTCCTTCACTAGGAAAAGTCAAGGCTAAATCTGGACTCTTCCCAAAACTTAAGTGGTAGCAGCACTTAAGTTTTGGGCAAGGTAAGCCACACTCAGATCTTCTTGGGCTAAAATAAAGCCTCACCTGGTTCAGATCCGTGATCCTGGCCTCCAATCAGCTGCAAGAGGGCGAGATTTCTGGAGTGCTTCTTTGGGGAGAGGGGCCTCTAAGGCAGGGTGAGAGGGCACAGGCTGGGGCCTTCCTGGGCAACTGGCACTCTTCAGCTCAAGCCTGGGGGAGTGAACGTGCCGTGCCGCGTTGGAGGGTGGGGGGAACAGGGACCCTGGCCTCTCCGGAGAACCAAGCCGACTCAGGTCCTACTTGGGCGCTCTGCCAGGGGCCAGCCAGGTGCGGTCGGAAAAAGTGTGACTTCATTGAGGGAGGATTTCAAGTCCAACCAGGTACCCCAAGGGGCCGTTAGTAGACACTGGTACCCGCGTGTGCCTGTGCTGGGCGAAGAGGCGGCATAGAAGGCCCCGCGGCCTTCGCCTCCGAAAGGGAAAGCAGGGAAGGATGGTTCCAGGAGCGCCTTACCCAGGGACGACGGCAGCAACACAAACCGCTGCAAGAGGAATCGAAAGTGCTGGCGCAGAGCCTTCGCCGCCAGCTTTCAGCTGGGGCCCTAGGAAACCCCGCCCCAGCCCCGCCCTCTCCCCGAGACCGCCGGAGACACCCTCTGCTCTTCAAATGTCACCCGAGGGCCCAGAACCTGCTTCCGCAAGGACTAGCCAATCCAGGTAGGAGTTTCAAGGAACATTTATTTAGCCATTCTTTCTGTGGTTATGTACAACAGGGCAGACGACCGGACCTCCTGGATCTCTACTTTAAGACTCCGATGGTCAGGACAGGTCCCACCCTTCGTCAGCCTAATTACACACATCCTACTGCTTGGCCTTCTACCCAGAAGCTCCGACAAAAACGTTTTAAATAATGAACAGCTCGGTTGGCTTGCAGTCTGAATCTTGGTTTATTAAGTAACATTCAAGAGTTATACTGCAAATAAACATCATCATAGCAAATGACTAACTAAAATCACCATTCATTATAAATACCAACCAGGTTAAATAATACTACTTTATCCTTCCCACTTTTGGGGTGGGGTTCAGATTCTTCCTTTTCTGGAAGTCATATTATAGATAAAATCTTTAGCGTGTTTTGTTACCTTCCTTAAGCAATTGTACCCAAGACTCCCTTCCGTAAACAAAGTGAGCACGTGGGCTCCTGGAAGCAAGCTCTTTCCCACTAATCCTGGGATTAAACCAAAACTTTTTCAGGGAGTTTGCCCCCATCCAAGTTTTGCAAAAAACGCCTACTGCCTCTTCCTGTTCTAGGCTCTCTAGGGCTAGATACCTCTGAATGGATTTCAAACATTCACGAAGTCATCAGCATTTCCTCTACCTCACACACTCTCACTTGCCCACCCTCACCTTTACTGAGATTAATTCAGAAGCCTTTCACTTTCACATGTTTCTATTTCCCCCACTCTATTGTAAAATAAGATCTTCCCTGACATTAAGAAAAATGGTAACTGTTAAATTTACTTTTCCCTTTAACAGAAGAATTTTTTCCTTCTCTATATAATTAGCAAAATATTTCACACTACCTAAATTTTTTCCCTTAAATAAAAATGTATGCAAAATTACTATAGACACCAATCAATAGGTGCCGGTGGATTAATGAGCATACCCTTGTCTCCTTTCATTGAAATGCAGAGATCCCCAGAAGTTGGATACTCTTCAATGCACAAAGGAGTCTTTAAGAAGCAGCAGTGGCATTTACTAAGTCTTATAGGGAAATGACTTTCTCCTTGGGAAAGGAAGAGTAGCAAAGTTTCTATCACGCTCTGGATGTCATTTCAATGCCATATGGCTATAGGGCTTGGGGTAGGTTACAGAAATTATGAGAATAATTCTTGAAAACAACCTCCAAAGTTAATTTCTTTTAAAACCTGACAATTAACAGATATTCCCATAAAACATCCACATTAACCAAAGAAAAATATGCAACTTCAATGAAAGCAGAAAAAAATGGTTCTATAGGAAGTTCAAGATACACTCTTCAATGCATTAAAATGAAGAAAGGACTTTTAACCAAATCAATTGAAAAACTATCTTCCTACTATTCATCCAATGTCTAAAGTGGAAGTTTAAGTTCTGGTCTTTGATTTGCTCCCAAAATACTGTAACAGGTTCTGTCTTGATAATTCAATGATGAGCTCTATAAAGATTCATCAGATTAAAAAACAAGCAAGGGCTTCTACCCCACACCCCAATGACAGAATACAGATCATCTCTGAGCAGCAGGCAGACTTATTTAATACAAGGTCATTCTTCAGTAGCGGTGGCTGTACCAGTCATTGTTGTTGACCTGAAGAAGTTCCGTCACAACCTGCAGGATGTTGTGATTGTGTTTCTTCAGCAGCCTTAGGTTTAGCTGCCGGTCACAGAATCCCATTTCAAAGAGGTGGGCCATCAGGGCTGCTGTTTGATCTTCAGAAACTATTGGCTATGCAGAGACAAGAAAAGCAGAACACTTTCTATGTAATTTAAATGTTTACCTTATAACTTTATTAGTCTCACTTGTTGCCCAGGTTATAGTGAGTGCCGTGGCGTGTGGCGTCAGCCTAATTCACAGCAACCTCAAACTCCTGGGCTCAAGTAATCCTTCTGCCTCAGCCTCCTGAGTAGCTGGGACTACAGGCATGTGCCACCATGCCCAGCTAATTTTTTCTATATATATATGTTGGCCAATTAATTTCTTTCTATTTATAGTAGAGACGGGGTCTTGCTCTTGCTCAGGCTGGTTTTGAATTCCTGACCTCGAGCAATCCACCCGCCTCAGCCTCCCAGAGTGCTAGGATTATAGGCGTGAGCCACTGCGCCCGGCTTTTTTTTTTTTTTTTTTAAGAGATAAGAGTTTTGCCACCTTGTCCAGGCTGATCTCACACTTCTGAGCTCAAGTGATCCTCCTGCCTCAGCCCCCCAAGTAGCTGTGATATAGGGGCCTGCCATCATGTCTGGCTTTACCTTACGTATTTTTATTATCTTGTAAGTCATGCTAGTCTTTCCAGACTTATTCAAAATACTGGGTACTTAGATACAAGGGTAAAGCCCTACTGTGCACCTGATACCAATAGCTCTTCCCAGGGGTACGGACTAGGAAGGCCCTGCTTTAGATTAGGGATGTTTGTACCTGAAGGAGGAGAGAAGGGGAACCAGGGAACTAAGGAACTATGGAACTAGGAGAATGCTTTAGGGGACTTTCAGAAAGAAGCATTCTTTGGCCTCATG